GGCGCGAGGAGGATTCCTTCAGCACCCAAACGCCGCTTTCCAACCGACGACCGACAAGCTCACCCGGAAGCACTTTCTCAAGCGCCGTCAAAACAAGATGGCGGCGCCCAAGCAAAATAGGCGGCCCGGTACAAAATGATCCACGGACCGGTCCCGGTCCGGGGCCCGGTGGTTGGGGACCCCTGCTCTAATCCCCCCACCTGACCTGCTTTGTCGCTTGGAGAGTTCGATCCCTTTTCCCCGGAGGAGCCCCTCTGCCTGACTCCCTAGGTAGGGCGGGGGAGGAAGGGCCTGCGGTGGTCCCGGCCCCTCCCCAGAGCCCTTTGGGGCATGTCCCAGAGAGGGGGAGAGGGCGTGAGGAGGAGGAGGCGCCGGCCTGGGCAAGGAGGGCTTGGCTGGCTCCAGGCCAGGCGCAGGAAGGGCCCCCGGACTGGACTGGCGGATCATTCAGCGCCGGAGTGAATGAAGGAAGCAGCCGGAACGACGTCTTGCAAATTGCCTTGGTAAACAATTTCTTCTAGCGTAGCCGTGATTCTAGCAAAGGACGGATGGATGATTTTAAAGTAGCTCAAACAACCATCCAATTCCCACACGGGCCACTCCAGCCAGCTTACAACATTCAACACCCACAACCTAAACTTGGGCCCTTGTTGGCTTGCTGGGATGACCTTTGGCTACCCCTCCCCCTTCTTCCCTGCAACATGTCAGCAACCTAGGGTCCCCTGCTTGGGCGAGGGAGGGAGGGAGCGGGGTTGGCCTAGATGACCTACAAGGTCCCTTCCAACTCTGTTCATCTCTCACCAGATCTGTATGTCGGCGACATGACTTGTCCCAAACTGGTGGGGCCAAAGTGACTCTCCTTTGCTGCTGGGACCCCCCTGCCTGTCCCCTGAAAAGTCGGCTCGGAAACAGAAGCCCAGCCTGACCTTCGACCCAGAGCTTCAGGGGATCCCAAAGTGAAGAGGAGGAGGAGGAGGAGGAGGAGGAAGACTGTGGGGGCTTAGGTGTCAGTCGGTGCTCCATTCAAAATCCAAGAAAGAAATACTTAGACTCCATAGATTAGAGAAAAGAATTCTTTTACTGAAAAATAAAGTGGTAGCATCAAATAGGATTCCGAATCTGAGAAATTAGGCGCGCAGATCACATATACAAAGTGATGAAATTGTTCCCACCCCCCATAGTTCAAAAGATTCTTCCCATGAAAAGTTCGGAATATGATCCTGTGGGCATCTTCAGGTGGTGAGGAGGCCTCTGTCCGTTGACCTTGGCATATTTTGAGAAAAGTTTGCAGCTGCGCAGAGAAAGGAAAGCTAAGCGAGAAATAGAAACCTAAAAGCAGGAATCTATACTCCCCCCCACTCCTCATTTACACAACACAAGAATGTAACACCTCCAGCTCAATTCCCAGACAACATCCCCCCTCCTCCCCCCGTTACTTATGGCAGCCAAAAGATGCAAAGCAGTAATAGAAGATCTTGAAGGCTGACATTAGGTGCTGTCTGAGCTTGGTTGGTTTCTTGGCAGAAGTTTTATCACCCAACTGGGGAATGTTATCAGTGCTGGAAGGGAGGGGAGTTTAGGGAGAGGAGGAGGAGGAAGAGGAGGAGGAGGAAGAGGAGGAGGAGGAGGAGGAAGAGGAAGAATGTGGGGTCTTAGGTGCCCTCTGAGCTTGGTTGGTTTCCTGGCAGAAGTTTTATCACCCAACTAGGGAACGTTATCAGTGCTGGAAGGGAGGAGGGTTGAGGGAGAGGAGGAGGAGGAGGAGAAGGAGGAGGAGGGTGCCCTCTGGTGGCTACTGGAGGAGCTGCTCACGCAGCCAAGCCACAGCCACTGCCAAGACCCTTCTTGCCCTTTGCCCGCATCTCTCTGCTGCCAGCTCCCGCGTTGCAGCGTTGCCAACCAATCATTTCACGTGACAATATTTGCTCTCGGAAACTTCCCAGCCCGTGTTTCCACAGCCTTTCTGCGCTGAGTAAGGGCTGAGTAAAGGCTAACAGAAGTGACAGTTCAAAGGCAAATCAAGTCTATTTCCCCAAACGTTTGGAAGAGGAACCTGCCCAGATTTTTCCAAACACACCAGGCGGCACAACCTGAAATCCCTTCAGAGCCAGGTGGGGTTGCCATTGTTTACCATATTGGGCTGTTGGCCGCGTCCCTCACCGGGCGCGGCGGAGGCCGGGATTGCTTTGCGTGTGTACAAAGGGGGGAGGGGAGCACCGGGCAAGCAGCCCTGGCTATTTCTGCATCCTATGCTGGTCAGTTAGTGCCAAGTTGACTACGATGGAGAGAAACAAGTTTGGGGAAGGTCTTTGCCTTTATTGTTCTGACGGCGGTAGCGGAACCTAACCAACCGGAGAAGGAGGCGAAGGTGCCTTTGCCGGGAGCGCCCAGCCTTCTTCCAACCAGGCAGCCTTGTGGTTGCTGCGGCATCTCGCCACCTCCTGCCCATAGAAGACACCGCCCCCCTCGCCCCCTCCCTCCCTCCCTCCCTCCCTCCCTCGGGCCAGCTGGCCTCTGCAAGAGCAGAATTCTCGGCCCCCTTTTCTGTCCTAGGCAGGACTGAGGCGGTGGGGGGAGGCCCAGGCCTTCTGGAGAAACAGCCCTTCGCACAATGAGGGGCTCCATGGGGGCCTGAACCCCCACCCACATCTCACCGCCCGAGAGTTTCTGCTCCCACCGGAGGCCGAGCTCCCCGCTCACTTGCCCTGGTACTTGACCTTAAAGACGTGGACGGTGCCGTTGCTGAGAGCGACCACAAAATGCCCCTCCCCGGCAACGGCGGCCACGCGTGGCTGGAAGATGCTGTTCTTTGCGGTGAGGAAAGGTCCCAGCTCCTCCCCGGCCTCCGAAAAGGCCACCACCTGGTTCAGCTCCTGAAGCACCACGTAGACGATGCCGGGGGCATCAACGCAGACGCTGCCCGGCGGAGAGTCCCTCAGCTGCCCTTCCTGGTATTCGGCCACCAGCTCCCCGCCCCGGGAGAGCAGCACCACACTGCGCTGGTACCCGTCGGAGGCCACGAAGCCCTCTTTCCACCTGCCCAGGAAGGCCAGGGAGCGGTCATGGGAGCCCTCCGGCACGATCCTCTCCAGGAACTGCCCTTTCAGGTTGAAGACCTCCAGGTGTCCTGCCACAGACACCGCCACGCAGTCCCTGTCACAGGTGGTCAGGGCGTGGCTGGCCTGGCCCTCCTTGAGGGCCTTTTGCCACACCACTCCCCCAGTTTCGTTTAAGGCGTAGAGCTGAGCTCCAGCGGTGAAGACCACCTTGTTGCCCACGGCAGCCACGCTGAAGGGGGCCACGTTTTTGGGCACCGGGACCGTGCCCTTGAACTCGCCCTGCAGGGAGAAGCGCTTCAGTTTCTTGTTCTGCTCGTCGGCCAGGAGGATTTCGCTGGAGCCAAGCGGGCACAAGCCCGTGACTTGCGGCTGCTTCTTGTCCGCTGGGACTTTTGCGCAGAAGCTGCAGAAAAAGGTCGGCTTTGGGACCAAGCGGGGGGGCACCTCTGGCCCATTTGGGGCCCTTCCCTGCCTGGAGGCCTCCCCCCCTTCCCCTCCCACGGGCTTCGGCCTTGCTTTCTTCTTCTTCGCCAGTTTGGCGGCGGTCCCCATGTTGCCCTCTGGGGGTGCCCTCGGGTGGAACTCCAGGTGGAAGAGGTTGGAGCCGCAAAGGAGCTCTGGCTGGATGCGGAGCTTGGGGACCGGCAGCGCGAGGGTCTCCCAGGAGGAGCCCTGGAGCTGCCTCAGCCTCTCCGAGATCATCTGCTCCAAGGAGACGATCTCCTCCTCTTGGCCCAGGCTCAGCACCTTCTGGACGAAGGCCACCGTGCCGCAGGCCACCTGCTCCTGGGAGCCCAGCTCCGAAAGCAGCCGCCCCGAGGCCTCCTTCCGCTCCTCCAGGTAGCCGGAGAGCTGGTCCAGGACCGTTGCCTTGTGGCTGAGCAGCTGCTCCACAGCCTTGGCACACATCTGCTCCGCCACGCGCCGGATGTTCCTGTTGTACACCTCCATCTCCTTCACCTCCTCCGCTAGCTCGACTTTTCCCTTGGCGATGAGCTGCAGCTTCTCCTCCACCCCAGCCAAGAGGCCGGTGATGACGGGACGGCGGGCTTGGGCGGCCTCCGACAGGGGCAGGCACAGGTGCTCTAGGTGAGGGCCCAGGCGGCACTCCCGGCAGAGGGCAGCGGCGCAGGGGAGGCAGAAATACTGCAGGGCCTCGTCCCGGTGCTCTCTGCAGCGGGAAGCCTGGCGCTTCCGGACCTCCTCATTGTACCTCCCAGAGCAGTACGCCTCCAGGTCTACCACCAGGTGGCCGTGGGTAAGCCGGGAGCAACGGTGCCCACGGGCACAGGCCTGGCACAGGTGGTCGGCACAATCGATGCAGTGAGACACAGCGACGGAGCTGGCATCTTGGCCAATGAGCGGGCAGAGGCTGCAGGTGGCCCTGGACTTCTCCCCCGGAGGCACCAAGTCCAGGAGGCCGTTGAGGAAGAAGTTGGTCTTCAAACCTTCCACGCCGGCTGGGAGAGGCACCAGCTCGCGGCATTCCGGGCACCGCAACTCCCGCTTGGAGCCCCTGAGCAGCTTCTTCAGACAGGCCTGGCAGTAGCTGTGGAGGCAGGGCAAGATCTTGGGCTGGCAATAGTGCTCCAGGCAAAGGGTGCAAGTGAGGAAGCTGCTGGAAAGGGCGTCCCGGAGGGCGGATTCTTTGGCAGCCATCTGGCCACCTTCTGTCCAGAGAAGCAGGGAAGAAGGACGAGCCCACCTCTGGCCTGCACCTGGAAGGGAAGGAGAGAGTGGTGGAACCAGGTCCCAACAGACACACACACACACACACACACAGAGAGAGAGACAGCCTGCTCAAGCGGTGGCTGCGGGAGGGACCCATGGGGGGCCATGGCTGACTCAGGCGAGGAGTCCACGCTTCCCTGCCCCCACAGAATACCAGCCTTGGAAGGGACCTTCTGACCCACAGGAGACCCTAAACCAAGAGGGCCCCCGGTGCACTGGCAGGGCAGGGAGAAGG